TTTTCTGCTTGTGTTACGTCGAGGTAAGGGCTGCCCGTCTGCTTCTCGCTTTGCATACAATGAAAAGCCAACATGCACCCTCCCTCTGAATGAGACGGCAACCGTAAAGGCATATGTTAATCTACGCTGCAAGAAGAGCAACGTGCAGCTGATGCAAAATGCACGTTGCCACGACTCACACATCCACAGCGTGCACTAGCTAAAATCGAGAGTCAAAAAAACACCACATACTGCCGAACATCTTCGTGAATTTGAGCCAGCTGTGGCCTCGCATTCGTTCCCTGTGTTCTCTAGCAGCTGTGATGCTAGAGAACACACGTCTTTCTGCTATTGTCCATATTGCTTCTGTTGCTGCTTTTGGGGATATCGCCGTTGCTCCACCGTCAGTGTATAGAGGACTGCACAAGCCGAATGTGTGATGTGCGTACAGTACACTACACGCCTGAATGTGAATATGCAGTCATCGTACATACGCATGCATTGGCTCTTTTCTGCATGCACCTATCATCTTCATTTGCCTCTTAGGCGCAAGTGTGAATGCTTGCTGAATGGGTGCAATGCTGCCTGCATGCTTCCTTCGGATGGTTGGATGAGTGCCTGCTTTTCCGCCTGGCATGCCTCTCTAGCAGTCGAGTTGTTGCATACGCGAGTGAGAAGCAGAATATCTAAGATTTTGATTATACGTGAAAAACTGTGTTTACATATCTATGTGCATTCATATAAAAATACATAGATAGAAAAGTATAAAATATACGTTCAGTTAATACATGAATTCAAGGATCTCATATGCTGCATGACAGCTGATGACGACGAACCTTCAAATCGCCCTATAGATGCTGCTTCTGAATGCGATTTATCTGCTTTAGCTAGATTCTTCCATCCTGCGTTTTAAGTGCGGAAATCAGCAAGGACTACAACCGGCATATTTGTGTATTGGGACAGCTGCTCCTCATGCACAATAGGACAGTAAGCTGCAGGCACTCCTTGTTGCTTTGAAGTCGTTAAACTACACAAACAAAAGAACCGAGGGCTGCTTAGAAATACAAGATACATATTATATATATATATATATATATATTACGCGTGCTATACATGTTATATATATCATAAATAGCTCTCTTCACTACAATTATCGTCTCGGTCGGGCCTCTTCCATGTGAAGGATCTAGTAGCATCTAGCAATAACAGGAGAGGAGCTAATGCGTATCAGTGTAAATATTAACGTAGCTAGATTGACAGTAGAACACAACTGTTCAGCGGAGTGTCCGCGGGACTAGAAGGCGTCAGCCAGCCAAGCAGTTTGCACAGGGTCTAGATTACGGCCCCGGGAAACAATGAGTTGGCTAATAGCAGTGAGCAGGCAGACCCAACAGAACATATGTTTCTCATTATTGTGAGTACTCTTGTAGCGTAAACGTTGGTGTCATTGTCGCTCTCAACGGGATCTAGGTTTATATCCTTTGAAATACTTG